GAAGTCGTACAGTGAATATAGATAAAATATAACTGTGACTATAATGTAACATGTTGTTATCATAGAAGTTGTACAGTGAATGTAGATAAAATATAACTGTGACTATAATGTAACATATTGTTATCATAGAAGTTGTAGAGTGAATATAGATAAAATATAACTGTGACTATAATGTAACATATTGTTATCACACAAGTTGTACAGTGATTATAGATAAAATATAACTGTGACTATAATGTAACATATTGTTATCATAGAAGTTGTAGAGTGAATATAGATAAAATATAACTGACTATAATGTAACATATTGTTATCATAGAAGTTGTACAGTGAATATAGATAAAATATAACTGTGACTATAATGTAAAATTGTTATCATAGAAGTTGTACACTAAATATAGATAAAATATAACTGTGACAATAATGTAACATATTGTTATCGTAGAAGTCATACACTAAATATATATGTTACAATATAACTGTGACTATAATATAAAACATAATCACACAAGTCCTACAGTTTAACTTCCTAGCCTACACTATAAATATGGTAATCACTTGTTTATTGTACTTGAGACAAAAAACAAAGTGTGGAATATGTCCCAGTAAAATAACAAGTTATTACCTAAAGAAATATCTAAAACAAAGATTGAATATTTTTACCACCCTACATATATTCTTGTTAACTGTGATATCTTGTTTTAATTTAGATGGCTAACAGGTTATAGTCATCCTGAATATGACTTAAAACAGAGTGCCTACAACGCTACTGGTAAAATACAGAATGGGATGGTGACTCTCCAGTTTATTAGAAAACGAAACACTGGAGATACTGACCAGGATGTCCTTTTCTCTGATCAAGAGTGTCTTTATTTTATGTTTCCTGTCAGAGGAGGCCAGTATGACAATGCTTTTAAACAAATATCTGTCCATGAGGTTTCACCCTCTGTCTCACTTGTGTGTATTCAGAGTTGTCCAGTACCAGGTAAGGAAAAAATCGTATAGTTACTCTTGAATGAAAAATTAGAATTTTTTATTCTTTTCATAGCATGAAATTTAATCTTTATAATTTTATCTATAAGCAAAATTTTTTTATTATCTATACATCACTGGATCAGCAGTTAGTTAACACTTATAGTACTAAAACTTGGGGTTTGATTCCTCGTGGTGGACTTAGGGCAAATAGCCTATTGTGTAGCTTTGTGCTAAAACAAACAAACATTATTATTTAGATATCTTAAGTGTTTTTAATTGTTAACTACAATTAATCTGCTTTTTTTTTATCTAGTTACAGTGTTAGAAGTCAGAACATTACTAATTTGAGTTGTTTATTAATGAATTAGAAAAAAAGTTAGTATTAAAGGTAACAACCTACTATGAAAGCCAAAGCTACTTTATAAATTGTTTTTCTAAGTGTAATTATGTAGATGCTATTCAACATGTATAGGAGACCCCCCAAAAAAAATCTTGTAGCTGCTTTAAACTAATTATTGTCAAAGAGGTGGAAAATCCTTGATTTGAAGAGACTTTTCAGTATTCTTTGATAGATTGTTTAGGCAGAGTATTCACGAAGAAATTAACTTGAATGGACGGCAACTGCCTGTTGTAGAAAGACAGATGTAGAAGATTACATTTTGAAAGTCTTTCACCCTTTGTCTTCAGGTCATTAACACAATAAAACCTTCACTAAACAGAGATTAGAGTTGAGTAACCTGTGGCTATCACTGACTGAAACCACAGGAAGTCTATTCACCAATCAGAAACGGGGATAAGCCAACCAATCATTACACGTTTTCCACAATCCACCAGAATACTTTAAAGACAGATGTAGAGG